CCAGAATGCTTTGCGTGTAAATAAAATGGCTCCGTCCGTGTTAAAATATATTTTAAAAAATTTACAAAACTAAACATCCTACAGTATTTTTGCAGTCTTTATTTTACAGTTAAAATAAATGTTTATCAAATAAAATCCAATGTTACAACTCATCAGGGATCCCTTTAAACAATAAAATATCAAAATTATTTTCTAATTCACTTATAAACAAAACTATTACATCTGTCATAGTAAAAACGAGTGATCATGATGGTTTAGTCTTTGCAACTTGAAAAAAAAAAACCTGAAATCTGTTAGTACGTGTGCTCAGTTACAGATCTGATGGTGTCTAGTTTTCTGTTGGAGAAACTGAAGTTTCCACTCCGCAGAAGGATCGTATGAAATCCGGCTGTGTCACAGTTGGCTCACCTGTGTTTGGCACCACCAGCCTGCCTCCAGCGTGGCCAAACACTGCGGTCGCTTTGTTCACAGGCCTGCTGTGAGGCTGAAAGGCTTGCTGAGCGAAAAGGTTTCTGCCTCTTCGGCCCAGCGTCGTCCCCACGGGAACCTCTCTGTAGTCTGGAGCCAGGCCCCGTGGAAATGTCTGAGGGTGGGACATGATGTGGTACTCTGCCCTTTCTGCCACCCCTGAGGACAAAATAAAAGCTCTGAAACTCGCTGGCAGCACTTGAAAGTGATTGTTATAAACTTTAGCATTATTTTTTAACACGATTCTATACTGTTGCAATGAGAAAACAAGAAACAGCAGGAGAGCAGGTTTTGTTTACATTTTGGAACATGTTTTTGGTCCAACCACTCAGTTTTAAACTGACTTCACTGAAGGCAACCTCGGAACAGGGACTGAAACTGCAGCAAGCCTGCCTCTGTCAAGGCTCTTGCCTCCAGCTAAAACAATGAGCCTGAGGCAACAAGAAACAGCAACACTTTGCATTTCAACAGCTTGGAGGGTGGAGACATTTAAACCTGCTGTATGAAAATAAAACAAATTATTGCACTTTTTAGGTTTAACATGTAGCTGTTCCCATTGAGTTTTTGCAGCGATAAATGGCACACAAAGGGATGAGAGCATCATCTGGGTGACTCAGTAAAATCCTTTTTTTTACACGGTTTATTGTAGCAGACTGCGAACATGTTTTTATTTTGTACATTTTGTGCAGTTTAACATCTGGGGCTGTGTGAAATGAGCAGGCTGCATATAAAACTCAGTCATTTGGTGTAACAAGTGAAGCCAATGTGCAATAACATCAAAATGCTCTGAAATCTTCTGTTATTCTTATTTTCACTGTTTTTAAATCATAGAAAACGTGTAATTGGCTGATGTAGACTCCCTGCTGTTACTCCCTCTGGTTTAGAAATTCACATGAAACATTTGTGCACTATGATTAAAAGTCGGGTCTGTGTCAGGAAGCCCACCAGTTTAAATGAACTCTATCAAATATCCAGCCAGAATTACATCAGGTGTTTGTTGATGGGTACAAAGAGCAGGTGGTGGAGGAGCCTCTTGCTAAGGGGAGTATCTCACTGGGCTGTGACTGGTGGAAACCATAGTTTGGTGACTCAAACTGTCAGAAAACTCCCCAAAGAATAAAAAAGGCACACTTTTTTTTGCTGTCTCACTGAATTCTGAGGGTTAGTAACCAACATGCCATGTGGTTGCCTATTGAGCAAACAATTTTTCGAAAATAACAACCTACAGTATTTTTGTGTGCACAGGTAGTAAAACTGTATTCTACACCCAGTGCGTTTATGCACTGCACCCATAACTGCCTCACGCCACTTTCTACCCACCATAGCGGCCGCCCCCATGTTTATGATTTATTCTACTGGAGTCCACTTTTGAAAGTAAGACAGGCAGATTTTAACCTTTTATTTTTAAATAGTCACCATTTACCATATCAGTGGCCTGGTTTTAAGACCTGGATCTTTGGAGCTAGCTGGCCCAGTTGTTTTCAGTCATAAAGATAGCTCTTTTGCAGGCTTCAAACTTCGTTTAATCAAATGTTAGTGTGAGTGATCTATATATATA